GGGTCTCAGTTTCCTCATCTGTCCAACAGGGACCCCACTGCGGCCGCTCACAGGATGGCGGCTACAGGAATTACCCCCGCACACACACACCAAAGCACCCTGGGCCTCCCTCACACTCTCTGGTTCCCCACCTGCCACCTGGAGACGCTCCTTTCCCATCTGTTTACCCGCCAACCCCGTGCTCACCAGGAGTCCGGCTGCCGTCGCTCAGCGGGTGCCATGGGTCACGGTCCGTGGCCACGAGCAAGCAGTCGGGGTCGCGCAAGTGCGCGCACGCCTCGCTCAGCTTAGCGAAGGAGAAGTGCTCGTCGTAGCCCACGAGCACGGCACGCACGCGCGGGGCCTCGCCGTTCCCAGCGCCCAGGTCGTCGCCCGGGTCCCCGGCCAGGCGCAGCCCCGCAGCGCGCAGCTCGGCGCGCAGCCCTTCGCCACCCAGCACGAACACGGCGCCCGGCGCGTCCGGAGGCCCGGGCAGGCGTTGGCGCAGCAGGCGCGCAGCGCACAGCGCGGAGCTGAAGAGCTGCTCGGTGCGCAGCCCCCCGAAGCCAAGGCTTGTGAAGCGCAGGGCAAGGTCGGGCCGCGCGCGCCGGCTGTTGTTGCTCACGAACAGCGCCGCCTTGCCCGCCCGCGCCAGCCGTTCCAGCAGCTCTGGGGCGCCCGGCACGGCGCGCTCACCGTTCCACAGCACCCCGTCACAGTCGAACAGGACCCCCTGCGCCCGGCCTAGCACGTCGCGCAGGGCCGCGCCGCGCAACCTCTCGCAGCGCGCCATGCAGCCTGCTGGCCGCCAACCTCCCGCGCGGCGCGCTCTCCGCGGGCACGGCGCGCTCGTCCTGGCACGTTCCCTGCAGCAGCCAATCGGCGCGCCGGAAGGACCGGGGGGCGGGGCGACGGCCTGGCCTGCGGCCAATGGGGGCGGGAGTCTGGGAGAGGAGCGAGGCCGCGAGCGAACGGAACTTGGAGAAAGGGGCGGAATCTTGGCCACCACCGAGGGGAAGGGACCAATGAAGTGCTAGTTTGATCGTTCTCCCGGCCCCTGGTTTTGCTGAGCCAGTCGCCGCCGAGTTTCAACGTCGATTACTGTCTTATAGGGGTCGGAGACTGACGCTCTTCTTAACCAATAAGAATCTACAAACAGAAAACACGAGGCGAAAGGCCCCGCGCCCTCCAGCCAATCAGAAGCTTAGGAGAGCTGGTTGCTAGGAGAAAAACAGATGCCAAATAAACTGTCTTTGGGTAAATTTTCATTGCCCTCTGAATCGTGGACGCTCCAGTTCTGAGCGAAGTCCCAAGAAACGTGTGGCTATGATGAGGTAGGAGGCTCAGGGTGTCTTCTTGGGCGCTGGGACCTTTGGTCTAGACCAGTGGTTCCTCACACTGCATTAAAGTCCCCTGGGAACTTATTTTCAGGTATCATTAACACATAGTAAAATGCATAGATCTGAAATGTACAGTTCAATGTCTTTTGAGAAATGCTTTTAAAATCACCGATGTGTAGCAGGACAGATTCTCATGTAATTGTTCTGGGTGAGGACTGGGCATTTCTTGGTTGGTTGGTTGGTTGGTTGAATTACAGGGGTTCTCCTGTGAGGCTAGCGTAGGGAAGCGCTGGACTAGAGGCAGGGAGACTGTCACCGGAGCACGCCTGGGGAGGGCTGGAGCCAGAGTGGCCGGGGTTGATTGCCCAGGATGGTGATGGGGCGACCCAGGCTGGCTGGGGCCCCATTTTAGGGAGGGGGGCTTGTGATCTGGAGGCAACCACAGGTCTTGGGGCCTTTGAGGAGCCAGTGGTCTGCGGTGTGGAGATGAATGAATTGTGAGCTGTGGTGTCACAGTTTTGAAGTTGTCTGCCAACTTCAGAGGAAGCTGTGACCCCCAGGAGCACTGGAGCTCTAAAGATTTGGGGAAAATCGTACCTTGTAACCCAGCCTTTGAGGCTCAACTACCTCCTATTCCCCAATGCCCCCAGCCTTTTTCTCCTGGCCTTTGGATAGGTAGTCTCCTTGGCCTGAACGTTCCTTTTTCCTTCAAAAATTTCACCGTCAGTTCCTGAAAGACTTCCCTTAAATATCACATCCTCCAAGAAGCCTTCCTTAACCACCCACCCCATACACACAAGTCTAGGTTATATGGCCAACCCTCACTCGGCTAATGTGGGCTCCCAGTGCAATGACACTTGATTTTTTTTTTTTTGAGACGGAGTTTCGCTTTTGTTGCCCAGGATGGAGCGCAATGGCGCGATCTCAGCTCACCGCAACCTCTGCCTCCTGGGTTCAAGCAGTTCTCATGCCTCAGCCTCCTGAGTAGCTGGGATTACAGGCATGCACCACCACACCCGGCTAATTTTTGTATTTTTAGTAGAGACGGGGTTTCTCCATGTCAGCCAGGCTGGTCTCCAACTCCTGGCCTCAGGTGATCTGCCCACCTTGGCCTCCCAAAGGGCTGGGATTACAAGTGTGAGCCACCACACCCGGCCAAAACAGGGTCTTACATTGTCACCCAGGCCAGAGTGGAGTGACATGATCACTGCTTACTGCAGCCTCAAACTCCTGGGCTCAAGCCATCGTCCTGCCTCAGGCTTCCTAGTTGCTGGGATTATAGGCACATGCCACTATGCCCAGTTAATTTTATGAAAAAAAATTTTTTTTTAAGAGATGGGGGTCTCACTATGTTGCCCAGGAGTTCAACAAGTGAACTCCTGGGCTCAAGCGATTTTCTTGCCTTGGACTTCCAAAGTGTTGGGATTACAGGCGTGAGCCACTGTGCCTGACCAGACACTTGATTCTAACAGTCACTCCTGCCTGTCTGTTCAGGGACTCCTTGGGTGCAGAGTTAAGTCTGGGAGCTAGCTCAGGGCCTGGCACAGAGATTTAGGGAAAGTTTGAGGACAGATCCATCCCTGCTCCTTGGGGAGCCTTCCCAGCCTCCTCCCGGAGGGAGAGTGAGGGGTCCGGGGAACAGTGGGAACGGCAGGCACTCGGTGGGCCGGGGTGGTGCTTTGGTTTTCACAGGAGAGCAATGCTTCCGTGGTGGGAATCTGGGATATTCCCAAATGAGGAAAAGGGATACCAAGAAGTTCAGTCAATTGCCCAGAATGTGAGGGACAAGCCAGGCTTTCAAGTCAGAGCTAGGTGTGATCCCAGGCCCCTGCTGACCGCCATGGGACCTTGGCGGGTCACTTCTGCCTGAGTCTCAGTGTCCTTGCTGGAGAGAGGTAACAGTATTTACTGTACTAGGAGATCAGGTGGAAATCATCCACAGAAAAGCAGAGTGTAGTGCAGAGAAAGCTCTAAAAATGTTTGCTGTGATCTCATTTCAGACAGGAAGAAAGGAGGCAAAGAATATTTAATTTTTTCCCCTTTATAAAATTGGCTTCTTTATTTCGAGGACAGAAAAGAAAGCTATCATTTGGGCAGCTGTTCCGGTTTTGTCCAGAATAATTTATTTACCAGCCTTACAAAAAATACGTTGGCAAAGAAGAATGAAAGTCCTGGAGGAGCGGGCAAGCCTCTCCTTCCTTCCGGTGGCTCCCCTAGGATCTGTCGGAGAGTGGAGAGTCCGGATCGTGGTCCCCAAGCCCAGGGTGGATGAGGAAAAGGTCAGGAAGCGGACTGTCCTGAGCCCTCCTGGCCATGGGGGCCGGCCCAATGGGCACAAAGGCACTCGTGGGCAAAGGCTGGAGCCCCACACCCCTTGGGAGGCGTGAGAGCTGTTTTGGGAGGGCCAGGTAGGGAGCAGGGGGATGCTCAGGGAGAGACTGGCCACTCAGTTGGTCTCTGAGGCAAGACTCCTGGGGCGGGGCTGAGGGGGGATAGCTGGGGGAGTGTGGACCCCACCCACAGCCTCAGGGGCTCCTCCCTCTGCTGTGGCAGCCACCAAGTCCACCTGTGCTGGGGTGGTCAGAGAGGCTGGGCTGGGGGAGGCTGGACCCGGGGAGGCTGAGCTGGGGGAGGCTGGTGAACGCCGGCTTGGGCGCGGGGCGGGCGGGGGGGGGATGGGGGGCAATGGCGGTGGCACTGTGGGGGCCCGGAGGCTGCTGCCAACCAGACGTCGGGGCAGGGCTTGGGGGGTCCCAGGGCTTCCAGAGCCAGGGGGCAGGGATGGAGCTGGAGGGGAGGAGCGGGTGCCAGAGACCTGGGGGGGTGGCATGGTGGGCCGGGCCGGCGCTGGGCGCTTGGCTGTGGAGGAAGGAAAGGGGGAGGGAGGTTGAGCGTCCGGGTGGCCTGTGGTGACTCCACCAAGCTCCGTGCCCCTCACAACCTTTGCATCCGCCGTTCCCCCTGCCGGGAACACTGTTTCCAAGGCTGGCTCATCATCAACTAGACCTCTCCTTGTGCCCTTCGCCCCCTCGGAGGCCCCCGAGCACCCTAGCTACAGCAGCACCCCATGGCCACCCCAGCTGCTCCATCACATTTTCCAGTTTCATTTTCCTCTTTTTGTCCTCTGAAATTATCTTGTCCATTTAATTTTATTTATTTTTTGGAAATGGAGACTTACTCTGTCCCCAGGCTGGAGTGCAGTGGCGCAATCTTGGCTCACTGTAACCTCCGCCTCCCAGGTTCAAGCAATTCTCCTGCCTCAGCCTCCTGAGTAGCTGGGACTACAGGCATACACCCACGCCCGGCTAATTTTTGTATTTTTAGTAGACACATGGTTTCACTCCAGTGCCCCAGTGCTCATGCCGGCTCCCCTTTAGTGGGCACTTGCTATGAGCCAGGACCAGGCACTTGCTGTGGCACCACTGAAGGCTCCATGCAGCCCCATAAGATAAGTGCAGTTATTGTCCCATTACACAGAGGAGGAAGGTGAGGCTCAGACAGGTGAACTCACCTGCCCAAAGTCAAAGAGCTCAAATCTAAACTTGGAGTGCCAGGTGGCAAAACTGGGGCTTTTTATCACCTTGATTCCTGCCTCCCTGTCTGCCTAAAAAGGTAGGAGGACCTGGGACTGCCTGTCCCCTCTCCCTACCCACCCTCTGTCCCCTCCCACAGCCAACTCACTCCTCCGAGCCACGTCCTCCGCTGGGGCAGCTGTCTCCGGGGGGCTCCTGGTGACCTTGGGGGAGGCTGGTCTGGGCGGCACCTCAGACTCTGTCCTGTAGAGGGAAGGAGAGCATGGGGCAGACTTGGCCACCTCCCAGAAGCCTCATGGAATCCTGGTGAGGCTCCAGCTGCCAGGTGGAGTCTGGCTCCTCCCAGCACCCACTCTCTACTACCTTGTGGCTGCTCCTGGGATCTGTCCCCAGCCCCCACACGCCTGCCAGAAGACGCTTCTGGCATTGGTAGAGGTCTGCGTCCACTGAGCTCCTGGCTGCTTTGTGACCCTGTGATGGAGTCCATGTTCCTCCAGGGACTAGGGGGGAGCCCCACCTGCCTGGGTGGTAGGGTCAGGATGGGAGGTAGGACACAGGCCCTGACCTCTGCCTCAGCTCAGGGCCTCCACGTGCTTTTTCTGGGGGGGGATGGAGTCTTGTACTGTCACCCAGGCTGGAGTGCAATGGCACAATCCTGGCTCACTGCAACCTCTGCCTCCCGGGTTCATGAGATTCTCCTGCCTCAGCCTCCCAAGTAGCTGGGATTATGGGCGTGCACCACCACACCTGGCTAATTTTTTGTATTTTTAGTAGACACAGGGTTTCACTATGTTGGCCAGACTAGTCTGGAACTCCTGACCTCATGATCCGCCCGCCTTGGGCTCCCAATGTGCTGGGATTACAGGCGTGAGCCACTGTGGCCGGCCAGTTGTTTTTTTGAGATGATTCTTGCTGTTGCCCAGGCTGGAGTGCAGTGGCATGAACCTACCCTCTCCAAGCTGGGAGATCTGGTCTTTGGGATGAAAATACTAACCAGACGGGGTGTGGTGGCCCACGCCTATAATCCCAGCACTTTGGGAGGCCAAGGTGGGTGGATCACCTGAGGTCAGGAGTTCAAGATCAGCCTGGCCAACATGGTAAAACCCCGCCTCTACTAAAAATAAAAAACTTAGCCAGGCATGCTGGCAGGTACCTGTAATGCCAGCTACTAGAGAGGCTGGGGCAGGAGAATTGCTTGAACCCAGGAGCTGGAGGTTGCAGTGAGCCTACATTGTGCCACTGCACTCCAGCCCAGGCAACAGAGTAAGACCTTGTCTCAGATAAAAAAAAAAAAAAAAAAAAAGACTGATCATTACATTTCCAAAAATTCAGCTTTTAGTTCTGAGACATGGTGCCTCAGGCAGGCTGTCTGTGGGACTACCACGGGAGCCAGCCATTCAAACTGCTCAGTCCTCACCTCTCCTTGGTAGCCGCGGACGCCAAGGCTGGGGCTGGAACCAGAGCTGAAGCCGGAGCCAGGGTGGTGGCTGAGGTGGGCACAGTGGTGGGCGGAAGCTCATCAGAGGTCAGCCTGTCACTGACTGTGTCCTGGAGGGTGACGTCTGAGAAGAGGCCTGACATGTTGAAGTTGATGTCTGGGGACAGGAGCAGAGATGGCTCTGAGAGACTGCGCCAGGCTCTGCCTCACCGGCTGGGCCGCTTTTCCTTCCCCTGAACCCATCTAGACCATGGTCAGCTTCCCGGCTCCCATGTAGCCCCATCACAACCCCACAAAGCAGGCAGATCATCCCCATTGTAGAAATGAGAAACTGAGGCTCAGAGTGGAGACGAAACTTCCTCCCTGCCTCAGGGTGAGTTTGTGGGGCTGCTGGGGAGGGAGCAGGGCAGAGGGAGGGCACCCAGCAGGGCATCCACGCAGACAGGAGCTTCACCTCCAGGGAAGAGGGTGTCTGCGCTCTGGATCAGGGCCTCGACTACGCCTACCACCTGGATGGAAGACACGGAGGCTGCGTCCAGCTGGGCCTGGTCCCTGGGACAAAGAGACACATCACATCCACTTAGCAAAGCATTTGTGACCCCAACTCTCTGTCTGGCCCTGTGCTGGGCACAAGGATCCATGATATTAAGTCCTTGTCCTCAAAAAGCCCACAAACCACCAGTGTCACGCACATGCCAGATGTCCCCCTTCCTTCACCCTGACAGACATCACTCATTAATCGAGGACCCTCTTCCTCACGGCTGTGATCTAGGCTGCCTTTACCAAGCAAATGCGATCAGCACGTGGAAGGACATCTCTGTGGCCAGGTAAATAATGAGGACTCCTCACAGAGCACTGCACTTTGCACTTGAATTTTATCATTTCTTTTTCTTTTTCTTTTTTTTTTTGAGACAGAGTCTCGCTCTGTCACCCAGGCTGGAGTGCAGTGGCGCAATCTTGGCTCACTGCAACCTCTGACTCCAAGGTTCAAGCGATTCTCCTGCCTCAGCCTCCCAAGTAGCTGGGATTACAAGCGCTTGCCACCATGCCTGGCTAATTTTTTGTATTTTTAGTAGAGATGGGGTTTCACCGTGTTGGCCAGGCTGGTATCGAACTCCCGACCTCAGGTGATCTACCCGCCTTGGCCTCCCAAAGTGCTGGGATTACAGGCATGAGCCACTGCACCTGGCCTATTCATTTTAGAGACAGGGTCTCCTTCTGTCACCCAGGCTGGAGTGCAGTGGCACCATCATGGGTCACTGCAGCCTTGACTCCCTGAGATCAAGCTGTCCTCCCACCTCAGCCTTCTGAGTAGCTGGGACTCCAGGTGCAGGCCACCATGCCTGGCTAATCTTTTTAATTTTTTTATAGAGACAGGGTCCCGTTAAGTTGCCCAGCCTGGCTTCAAACTTCTGGGCTCAAGTGATCTTCCCACTTTGGCCTCCCAAAGTGCTAGGCTGACTGGCATAAGCCACTGTACTTGGCTTACACTTTACAGTTTATAAAACGTTTCCCAGCCAAGTGCAGTGGCTCACACCTGTAATCCCAGCACTTTGGGAGGCCGAGGCAGGTAGGTATCACCTGAGGTCGGGAGTTTAAGACCAGCCTGACCAACATGGAGAAACCCCATTTTTAGTAAAACACAAAATTAGCCAGCCATGATGGTGCATGCCTGTAATCCCAGCTACTCGGGAGGCTAAGGCAGGAGAATCGCTTGAACCCGGGAGGCGGAGGTTGTGGTGAGCCGAGATTTCGCCACTGTACTCCAGCCTGGGCAACAAGAGCAAAACTCTGTCTCAAAAAAACACATACACAAAAAAACATTTCCCAATTCATCATATCACCCAATTCCCAAAGCAAAAGCCCTCAAAGTTTGTATAACATCCCCCCAGTTTTTTTTTTTTTTTTTTTTTTTTTTTT